GCCTGCTCTGGTGATATATGTATAAATTGCTATGTTCCAAAGCTCATTTTCTGGCCTGTTGTTGTCCTATAGAGGTTTTTAGTTTCTGCCACAAATAAAGGATCTTTGGCTCACACAATGTCCAGTGTTGCTGGGAGTGGTAGCCATGTCCCAGAATCTATGGGTGGCCAAAGGTGTCCAGTGTATACAAATACGTACCAAGAAGTTCCCATCATGACACTGGATATAGAAATATTTCTATAACGACAAGATTTAATAAGCATTTTCAGACACCACTTAAAGACCACAAGGGAATTTGGCCTTAATAGGGCTGAATGTGCTCAGATACTATGGCCAAGAACTCAGGTGTTTAGAGCACAGGAGTAGCTAGTTTAAGACTATATAATATATTAAATTTTAATTACACTAGTTAATCCTGCTCTAATTCCTGGTTAGTTAACTGCTTACAAATATACAAGGTTGGCAATCAGATTGTTCAGTATGACAGAAACAGCACAAATCCATTAGCAGTTCTGGGAGAAATGATGCAACATGCATACACACATATGTATGTATGTGTGTATGCATGCAGTTATATATGTTGTATGTAAATATGGAATTAGGGTGGGAGGAAGAAATGTTAGTGGATTTAAAGTTTGTGAGGATTTTCTCTGGCTACCAATAGTTTATAGCTTTTTCTTACGTGTGGACATCAGATTATGATTCAACCCCAAAAAAAGAAATATTTAAAGTTGAATACAGGAAACACTATAGAGTCTCCAGGGGTACAATGCCTGGAAGCTATTCCTTCCTGCACAGAACAACGTGGGTAGGATCAACAGCCGAGAAATCAGCGCCCAGAGATGTACAGCACATGGGAACTTGAAGAGAGTGCAAACTCCTGGTTCAGCTATCAGTCTGAGGTCAGCTCTGGCCTGAGGTGAGCCTGGACAGTGACAAAGGGGCAAGAATAACCAGAGAAGTCAGTAAGGCCCTAAAGCATCTTTTATCAGTGGAGATGTAGGTAACACGGTGCTTCCTAAAGCTAGAAGTTGGTTTAATACTAGAGGGCTTATTTCAAGGAAATAACCTCTTACATGATTCTCTCCTCACCATCTTCCCAGTGGCTATGGTTGTAATTCATTTCTTTCCTCCATCTTTTCATCTGAGGTTCAAGATATAGAATGCTGAGAATTCAGCAATAGGCAATAAAATTCCAATGGGGAAACTTTGCTTAGTGGGCTTGGAGACCTAAGGCAAATGACCAGAAGTAAAAGTTCTCTTTAGAGCAAACGTGCAGCCTAGTTTCCTAGGAAGCTCCCTCTATCAGCCTCCATGGTTGGCTGTTGACACCTTGATTATCTTTCCCAAACCTCTACCTCATCCCTACCCCATTTCTATCAACAGTTGACACATCTTCATGGAGAAAATAGAAGGCATCAAGTGTAAACTCGCATAATTTCTTTGTTCTAACTCCATCCATCCTCATCTTTCTTCTTGACTTGGGCTAGAGACTAAGGTCACCCTACCCCATGTCCTCTTGATCTGCTCCCTCTCACTCAAGCTACTACATCCACTCTACTGAAACTGGCTGGCCATTGTTACTACTGACCTTATAGTTGCAAAACACAGTAGCTATTCTTTAGATCTTTTATTTTGTAACATTTCACATGATTGATTGTATTCTTAGTTTCAAAATATCTTTTGCATTGGATTTCAGGGTACTGTTTTCTTCTAATTCACCTACTTATTACTGATTAATCTCTTTCCTTTTGTTTCTTCCTTTGACTGCTTTTCAATATCAGTGTATTTAGCAATTTATTAATTACAAAGGGAGAAAGAGTAACTTCAGTGGAGAATCCTAGCAGATACCAACTCAATCAAGTAATCAAAGTAAACATCATTAATGAGACAAATCAAAATTGTGTTCTACCTGATAAGATGCAATGAGAAGAACACAGCATCACTTCTGTGATATTCCTGTCAAAGATGCATAAACTGCTTCATGAAAAACAACAGAAAAAACCAAATGGAGGGACATTTGCTAAATAACTGGCTTGTGATCGTCACAAATGTTGAGGTCATAAGTGTGAAAGAAAGACTGAATAGCTTTTCCAGACTGAAGGAGATCGGTGAGACATGAAAGCTAAATGCCGTGTATGATTCTGAACTGTATCTTTCTGATCTAAAGGACATTATTGGGACAATTGGTGGAACTTGAAGGGGGTTCTGAGGATTAGATAGTAGTAATGTATTAATGTTTATGTCCTGATTATGGTTATGTGAGAGAACGTGTTGGTAGGAAACATGTATAAAAGTTTTCTGGGGTGAAAGAGCATCAGGTCTAACATGTATATCAGGTCAAACATGTATAAAAGTTTTCTGGGGTGAAAGAGCATCAGGTCTAAAATCATTCAAAGAAAAGGTTCTTTGTATTTGCAATTCTTCTGTAAGTTTCAGGGTTTCTTTTCTCCAAAATGGAAAATAATTATATAAAAAATATAATCTGTGCTTTGGATCAGGACATCTAGGTCTGAAAAGAGAGTAGAAGAGATTGGTGTATAGTGTGGGGCATGTAGATAGGGCAAGGCTGCTTAAATGGGTTGGAATCTTGGACAGATTCCAAGTCCTCGAGTTGTAATAATTACACACTGAGAAAAATGTAGAAAGAATCTTAGTGACTCTATATCCAACCGTTGAGAATCAACTTAAACTCAAACAGAAAGAAAAAGAAATAAATCAGTACAAAGCATGATCACATGAAAATGTGAGAAGTGAGACTACTTCTCACTGGCAATGACTAGAAATGGACATCTCTATCTCTGTCTCCTCTCTGTCTCTACCCTTATCTGTCTGTGTCTATCTCTATATTCCCTCTCTCCAACTTTTTGTTTTCTAAAATCTGATGTTAAAAAATTTTTTTGAGGGAGAGATCAAGATGGTGGAGTAGAGAGATATAGAGCTCACCTCCTCGCACAAATATATCAAAAATACATCTACGTGTGGAACAATTCTCACAGAATATGTACTGAAAGCTTGCAGAAGATCTCATACAACCAAAGTTGCAAGAAAGTTCTCTGTGAGACCAGCACATCTGGCCCTGGCCATGTTGGCACGCTTCCCAGGCTGAGATATGTGCCTGCTGGTGTGTGTAGCAACTAAGTGCTGAAACTTGGGCTTCAGTGGACAGGCCTAGGGAGAGGACTCAGTTTGGCTGCATGGAGACAGTCCGAAGGGCCTGGATTGTGGCCCAGGCTGTAACTGGGACTGCATGCAGGACTGAGTGTGGGTCCTCCATAGGATCCCCATTGTCAGCATGAGAAGGGAGGGGTGTGGGTCCACCGTAGCCGCATCATCAGTGTGCTCACGGCGGGGCGTGGATCTGGCTGCCGCAGGTCTTGCGAACCTTGTGGATGCACATGCAGAGGTGGGTTGAAATCTGAGCTGATTACCAGTGCTCCCACAGTGGGTGTGGGGGCATAGGTGTGGCAGGTCTTCGTGTCTGTAGCTTTATGAGGGTGCGTGCTTGCCTGAGGAATGCCTGAGCTGATTATTGGTGCTCCCATAGCAGAGGCGGGTCCAGGCACAAGCAGCAGCAAACTTTGTAGGCGTACACACCAGGTGGCAGACGACATCACAGAGTCACATGTCCCAGTGGACAGCTCCTGGGGAAGAACATGCAGTTGTTTTCCCAGCAGGAGAGCTCCAGTCCCGGCTACCTCATACCACAGCTTAGAACCAGATCTGGTGGATTCTACTCCAACAATTGGTGAGCAGACTCTGCCCCTGACAGGGCTGTGACAACCACGGAGCAAAGGGGAGGCCCCACCCAACATCTAGTGCAGGCTGTGGTCACCACAACACCAATCACACCCCCTATCAAGGGGATAACAGCCAGCACACCCTGAGGAAAGATGTGGTAGGCATCCATGCCCAAAACAGTCCTCGCAGCAAAAATATTGGACTCATGCAGGCTACACAGGGACACTGCCATATAAAAACAGCCCTTTAAGACCACAGTATATAACTCTTTCTCCTAAATTCATAGAGTCAAAGAAATATAAGTAAAATGAAAAAAGCAGAATAACTACTCCCAATTAAAAGAACAAGAGAAGTCCTGTGAAGAACAAACAATGAAGCAGACCTCTCCAGTCTACAGGACCCCAAGTTTAAAAAGGAGGTAATAAAAATGCTGAAGGAATCAAGAAAGGCTATTGATAGAAATGCAGATTACTGTAACAAGGAACTAGAAACTATAAAGAGAAGCCAGTCAAAATTCAACAACTCAACTGCTAAGATGAAAATCAAGCTAAAGACCATAAATATCAAACTGAATAATGCAGAGGAACAAATAAATGATCTGGAAGATAGAAAAATGGAAATCACCCAATCAGAACAGCAGACAGAAAGACAAATTAAAAAAAAAACAAAACTGAAAGCAACATACAAGGGGATAGTATAAAGTGTGCCAGTCTACACATAATGGAATCCCAGAAGGAGAAGGAAGAGAAATGGGGATCAAAAATGTATTTGAAGAAATTATGGCTGAAAACTTCCCAAACCTAAAGAAGGAAACAGATATTCAGGTATAGGAAGCATAGAGGGTCCCAAACAAGATGAACCCAAACAGACCTACTCCAAGACATATCGTAATTAAAATGGCAAAAGTTGAAGATAAAGAGAGGATTCTAAAGGCAGCAAGAGAAAAACAATGAGTCAGTTACAAGGGTATCTCCTTTAGGCTATCAGTTGATTTCTTTACAGAAACTTTGCAGGCCGGAAGGGAGTAGCAAGATATATTCAAAGTTCTGAAAGGGAAAACCCTGCAACCTAGAATACTCTACCCAGAATGATTATCATTTGGAATAGAAGGAGAGATAAAGAATGTCTCAGACAAGTAAAAACTAAAAGAATACAGCAATGCTAGACCTACCCTAAAAGAAATATTGAAAGGTCTTCTCTAAATAGAAAAGAAGCAAGAATCTATAGGAAAGGGAAAGTTACAGTAGGAAAGGCAAATATATAAAAGGATTGAAGATCACTTAAATAAGTCAGTACACAGATTAAAAAATAATCAAAAAAGTTCTGTGAAAGTGATTATAACTACAATGAACAGCAAAAGGATCAACATGAAGATGTAAAATAGGACATCAAAATCACAAAACATGGCCCAGCGTGTGAGTGGGGTGGCCCTCACCCGTAGGCACCCAGAGGAGACCTGAGGACAGAGTCCTTGGGAGCGGCACCAAGGCCAGAACGGCTGCGGATCTCTGGCCTGAGTCAGTGATGAGCCCTGGGGACCCGGCCGGGTCCGGCCCGGTGCTCCCATCAGCATCCAACGTGCACCTCCCTGGGAACGACAACCGACCAGGTCCCTGTCTCTGGTTTCGGGATGTACCCGGCAGGTTTTCTATCAGATGATCCATTGTAATAATGCTGGAGTTAAGAAGTCTCCATTCCTTTGCTTGGAACCAGAAGACTTTTTGCCTTGCATATAGAGTAGGAGTAATGTTGGTTAGAAACTGGCTGGTGTTTAAAACTGAAGATTGTCATGACTGTTTAACTGAAGCTCCATGCTGAAGTAAGATTAATTGTCTTGGAAATACTAAATTGGGGTAACCTAAATCTGTTTCTGGAGCCATGAAAATTTTGTTGGTTTTTGACTTTGACAATATAATCATAGATGATAATAGTGACATCTGGATTGTACGGTGTGCTCCAGAGAAAGAGCTTCCTATTGAACTACAAGATTCTTATGAAAAAGGATTGTGGACAGAATTTATGGGCAGAGTCTTTAAGTATTTGGGAGATGAAGGTGTAAGAGAAGATGAAATGAAAAGAGCAATGATATCAATGCCTTTCACTCCAGGGGTGGTGGAACTTTTAAACTTTATAAGAAAGTACAAGGATAAATTTGACTGGATCATTATTTCAGATTCAAATTCAGGCTTCATAGGTTGGGTTTTAGAAGCTACCAATTTTCATGACGTGTTTGATAAAGTCTTTACAAATCCAGCAGCTTTTTATAGCAATGATCATCTCACTGTGGAAAATTATCATGCTCATTCTTGCACTAGGTGCCCCAAAAGTCGTTGCAAAAATGTAGTTTTGGTAGAATTTGTAGGTAAACAGTTACAATGAGGAGTGAATTATACACGAATTGTTTATATAGGTGATGGCAGAAACGATGTCTGCCCAGTAACCTTCTTAAAGAAGAATGATGTTGCCCAGCCACAGAAAGGATATACTTTACAGAAAACTCTTTCTAGGATGTCTCAAAATCTTGAGCCTATGGAGTCTTCTGTTGTATCTTGGGCTTCAGGTGTTGAAATAATTTCTCATTTACAATTTCTAATAAAGGAGTAATATACCAGCAATTAAAAAAAATCACAAAATGTGGGGAAGAGGACTAAGAAATTGTAGATCTTTTAGAACGTGTTTGAGCTTATATGACTACCAGTCTAAAGGAAGTAGATATAGTTATGGGTTAACATACTTGAAAATCAGGGTAACCACAAATCAAAAACATACAATAGATTCATAAAACCAGAAAGAAAGGAACTCAAGCATAATACAAAAGAAAACCATCAAACCACAAAAGGAAAAAGAAAAAGAAGAAAGGAGCAAAGAAGAAATACAAAATCAACTGGAAAACAGATTTCAAAAGGCAATAAGGGGCTTCCCTGGTGGCACAGTGGTTGGGAATCCGCCTGCTGATGCAGGGGACACGGGTTCGTGCCCCGGTCCGTGAGGATCCCACATGCCGCAGAGCAGCTGGGTCCGTGAGCCATGGCCGCTGAGCCTGCACGTCTGGAGCCTGTGCTCTGCAACGGGAGAGGCCACGGTAGTGAGAGGCCCGCGTACCGCAAAAAAAAAAAAAAAAAAAAAGACAATAAGTACATACTTGTAGATAATTACTTTAATGTCAGTGGACTAAATGCTGTGATCAAAAGACTGGGAGATTGGATAATAAAACAAGAACCTACAATATGCTGCCTAAAGGAGACCCGCTTTAGGGTGAAAGACACTTATAGATTGAAAGTGAGGGGATGGAAAAAGATATTTCATGGAAATGACAAGAAAGTGGGGGTAGCAATACTCATATCAGACAAAATAGACTTCAAAACAAAAGCCATAAAGAAAGATCAAGAAGGACACTGTATAATGATAAAAGGATCAATACAAGAAGAAGATATCGGGCTTCCCTGGTGGCGCAGTGGTTGAGAGTCTGCCTGCCGATGCAGGGGACGCGGGTTTGTGACCTGGTCTGGGAAGATCCCACATGCCGCGGAGCGGCTGGGGCTGTGAGCCATGGCCGCTGAGCCTGCGTGTCTGGAGCCTGTGCTCCGCAACGGTAGAGGCCACAATAGTGAGAGGCCCGTGTACCGCAAAAAAAAAAAAAGAAGATATCAACTTGTTAATATATGTACCCAATATAGGATCACCTAAATACATAAAGCAAATACTAACAGGCATAAAGGGAGAAATTGATGGGAATACAATAATAGTAGAAGAGTTTAACACCCCAGTGACATCAATGGACAGATCTTTCAGGCAGAAAATCAATAAGGCAACAGAGATCCTAAATGACACAATACAACAGTTAGACAATTGATATCTACAGGACACTACATCCAAAAAAAACCCCAAAACCCAGAATACACGTTTTTTTTCAAGTGCACATGGAATATTCTCTAGGATAGACCACATACAAGGATACAAAACAAGCCACAAAAAATCTAAGAGGATAGAAATCATTTCAAGCATCTTTTGTGACCACACGGCATGCAACTAGAAATCAACCACAGAAAGAGAAATGAGAAAAAATGATTTCATGAAGACTAAACAACATGCTATTAAAAACCAGTGGGTCAGTGATGAAATCAAAGAGGAAATTAAAAAATCCTCAAGACATAACGACAATGAAAGTACAACCATACAAAATCTATGGGATGCAGCAAAAGCAGTTCTAAGAGGGAAGTTCATAGCAATGCAGGCCTTCCTCAAAAAACAGGAAAAATCCCAAATAAACAGCCTAACTTACCACCAAAATAATAGGTATTAGCACAAAAAGAGACATATGGATCAATAGAACAGAATAGAGAGCCCAGAAGTAAATCCACACACCTACTGTCAGTTAATCTTTAACAAACGAGGCAAGAATTTATAATGAAGAAAAGACAGTCTCTTCAGCAAGTGTTGTTGGGAAGGCTGGACAGCCACATGTAAATCAATGAAATTAGAACACAGCCTCACACCACACACAAAAATAAACTCAAAATGGCTTAAAGACTTAAATATAAGACCTGACACCGTAAAACTCCTAGAAGAGAACATAGGCACAACATTCTCTGACATAAATTGTAGCAATATTTCTTAGATTAATCTCCCAGGGCAAAAGAAATGAAAGCAGAAATAAACAAATGGGACCTAATCAAACCTAGAAGTTTTTGCACAGCAAAGGAAACTGTAAACAAAATGAAAAGACAACCTACACACTGGGAGAAAATACTTGCAAGCGATGCGACTGACAAGGGCTTAATTTCTAAAATATACAAACAGCTCATACAGCTCAATATCAAAATAAAAACAAACAAACCCAATCAAAAAATGGGCAGAAAACCTAAATAGACATTTCTCCAAAGAAGACATGCAGATGGCCAATAGGCACATGAAAAGATGCTCCACCTCGTTAATTATTAGAGAAATGCAAATCAAAAGTACAATGAGGTATCACCTCACACTGATCAGAATGGCCATAATTAGTCTACAAATAATAAATGCTATAGAGGGTGTGAAGAAAAGGGAACCCTCCTACACTTGGCGGGAATGTAAATTGGTGCAGCCATTATGGAGAACAGTATGGAGGTTCCTTAAAAAGCTAAAAATAGAGTTACCACATGAGCCACCAATCCCACTCCGGGGCATATATCTGGAAAAGATGAAAACTCTAATTCAAAAAGATACATGCAGGGGCTTCCCTGGTGTCGCAGTGGTTGGGAATCTGCCTGCCAATGCAGAGGACACGGGTTTGAGCCCTGGTCTGGGAAGATCCCACATGACGCAGAGCAACTAGGCCCGTGAGCCACAACTACTGAGCCTGCGCGTCTGGAGCCTGTGCTCCGCAACAAGAGAGGCTGCCATAGTGAGAGGCCCGCGCACCGCGATGAAGAGTGGCCCCCGCTTGCCGCAACTGGAGAAAGCCCTCGCACAGAAACGAAGACCCAACACAGCCAAAAATAAATAAATAAATTTATTAAAAAAACAAAAACAAGATACATGCACCCCAGTGTTCATAGCAGCGCTATTCACAATAGCCAAAACATGGAAACAACCTAGGTGTCCATTGACAAATGGATAAAGAAGATGTGGTATGTATGTATGTGTGTGTATATATATATGTGTATATATATATATATATATATATAAAATGGAATATTATTCAGCCATAAAAGAAAGAAAGAATGAAATAATGTCACTTGCAGAAACATGGATGGACCTAGAGATTATCATACTAAGTGAAGTCAAACAGGGAAACACAAATATTATATGATATCCCTTATATGAGGAATATAAAAAAATAGTACAAATGAGTTTATTTACAAAACAGAAACAAACTCACAGATATTGAAAACAAACATGGTCACTGGAAGGGAAGGGAGCGGGGGAGGGATAAATAAGGAGTCTGGGATTAACAGGTACATATTACCATATATAAAATAGATAAACAATAAAGATTTACTGTAGCACAGGAGCTATATTCAGTATCTTGTAACAACCTGTGAAAAAGTATAAAAAAAGAATATATATATAAGTATATAACTGAATCACTTTGCTGTACACCTGAAACTAACAATACTGTTAAATCAACTACATCAATTTAAAAAAATATTTAGTATGTATATAAAAACCGCATTCTTTTTTTTTTTTTTAGATGTTGGGAATAGGAATTTATTAATTATTTATTTTTGCTGTGTGGGGTCTTTGTTTCTGTGCAAGGGCTTTCTCCAGTTGTGGCGAGCGGGGGCCACTCTTCATCACGGTGCGTGGGCCCCTCACTATCGCGGCATCTCTTGTTGCGGAGCACAGGCTCCAGACGCGCAGGCTCAGTAGTTGTGGCTCACGGGCCCAGTTGCTCCACGGCATGTGGAATCCACCCAGACCAGGGCTCGAACCCGTGTCCCCTGCATTAGCAGGCAGACTCCCAACCACTGCGCCACCAGGGAAGCCCTAAAAACGGCATTCTTGAATTGGGGAGATCTGACTGATTATCTGAGTAAAAATTAGGGGTCTAAATGGATACTCTTCTTTTTGGATTCTAGCAGGTCATGGGGTACTTAAACATGGTACCTAAGGGGGCTCAAATAGAGCCAGTCTCCTATTTGAGCCTTTCCAGAATAGCAAGTCTTTTAAAATGGTGTCTATCAGGGTTTGTTCCTGTTTTTGTCAGGCAAGCAGGACTTACTTTTGTCTTACAGAGGGTGGACCTGTAGTCTCTTTTCCTTATGAAGGGGAACTTTTTATTTAAAGAGAATGCAGCCTTCTTTTATCATATATGGCCTTAGGTCTCATTGACTTATTTCTACTGAATGGATGTCTGCACACACACATTTGTATGTATCCAGCTATCATGTATCTATGTGTTTATTTACATTTCACAACTGACAAATGGCCATAGTAAAATAAAAAAAGAAAAAAAATGAAAAAGCAAGAGACAAAAACAAAACAACAAATTATTTGAAATCCCATCCAGAAAGAACCACTGTGTTACTTTGTTGTGTATACTTGGAGTTTCTTGTATACACTTTCTTGTGTATACTAAGTTTTCCTGGGCAAATATATACACACATATATATGTGTGTGTGTGTGTTACCAAAGTAAGATCATACCAAAATATTACTCTGTAATCTGGTTTTCTTCACTGAATAATATTTTGGGGTTATCCTCGCTCGACAGTAATTGTAGACCTACATCTTCTTTTTTAATGTCTGCCTAGTATTTTGTAGGGGAACAAAATTTGCCACCCCAAAATGTCTCTTTGGCCTACTGATTGTTTTGAGCTGAAAACAATTCAAGACTCAAAAGACTCAGGAAGAAACTTTGACCTTCCCCCTAGCTGCTAAAGAGTGTAGATAGAAGACCTGTTCCAGAAGGGAGCCATCACCATAGGTAACTATTGTGTGAGCTAGATGTGTAGACAGGGAAGAACCTAGCAAAGTCTGTTTGTTAAAACTCCTGTGTCCCATAGTCTCTGCATGGCCGCTGCAAACATTTGCTTTTCCATCTTTATGTTAATTGCCTACCTCCCCTTTGAACTTCCTCCCAACTTCCTCTTTTGTCTTTAGCTGAAGATGGTATTTAAGGTGAGGCTTT